ATATAAAGTTTTTTGTTCTTCATCATAAAAAAAGTATCTTTGTGGAATTTAAACAACTGTTTATTTGAAATTTCTCCAAGAAGGAATTTTTTTTTTTTTTTTTAATATGCACAATCTATTTCTGGATAGAAAACTGAAAGCCTAACAAACGTATGATTAAGAAAAGCAGGCGTTGGTTTAACTAAAAAATAAACTAAAATAGCGTATGGGATCTCTGAAACGTTCACTTTAACCAGGCGCAAAGAAGCAACAAGTTAAAGACGGAAGTGCTTCTTCGGCTCTGAGAGCTCATTGTTACCTCTGTCGCCCCCTGCGGACAGTCACTGGAATTACACCGTATTCATCTCGTAGCCTCCTCTTCTCCTGCAGTGTGTGTGCGCGATTTTATAAAAAGCCAGCCCCTCCAAAAATAGAAGACAAACAATGGCATTTACTTCCCAAGGAATAAAGAAAAAAGTTTGCTACTACTACGACGGTGAGCACACTCATGATTACACTTCAGCAAACGGACGCGTTTTTGGAAGAAGTCCTAAGATCCGAGTTTCCCTCATCTCCTGCTAACCTTAGCTAGCATGGCTAACGACAGATGTTGTCGACTCTCATCATCTCAGCCTTGCTCTATTTCGGAAAACATGTCCGAAAATGTTTATCTGGCTTCGCTAAAGGCATTCATGCTTCTTAAAATGCAGTTTAATGTATCTATTTACTAAGATTTTAGTACTTTGGCAAGATTAGTCGACTAGCCAGCGTGCTAACAATGGGGATGAGTTGATTGTCAACAAATTAGTTTTAACAGTTTAGGCTTATAAAGGCTCTTATTTTTACAAAAGTTGGTATTTTGAGGGTAAAATTGTTTGGATCTAAATTAACCGTTTTGTGTGTCAACAATCTACAGTGTAGTTATTTTTGTATTATATTATTTTATATTAAAACTGATTTCAGTATTTTAGCAGACTTAACGAACATCAGTTTTTGACTGATACATTTTTGCACCTCTTTTTTTTCTCCATTAATATGTTTTAAGTAGTACAGTCGTTTTTCTCACTTATTTTTATGTATTGTTTATTTTGGTACATTAACCATCATACTTTGTTGTATTTTTGCCACTTTAGGTGATGTTGGGAATTATTACTATGGTCAGGGCCATCCCATGAAGCCCCACCGGATCCGCATGACACACAACCTCCTGCTCAACTATGGCCTCTACAGAAAGATGGAGATATATGTATGGCAAATCAAGCATACTGTTTGTAAATGCAAATGCCTCATCTTTTGTTGTGTGTCTGAGGATCTAACCAGTTTTCCTTGTCGCAGCGTCCGCACAAAGCCAGCGGTGAAGAGATGACCAAGTATCACAGCGATGATTATATCAAGTTCTTGCGCTCCATCAGACCAGACAACATGTCAGAATACAGCAAACAAATGCAGAGATGTGAGTTTGGCCAGAGAAGGTACTTAAACATTTAAGTAGCGCCCTTAGTAATACTAAAGCGGGTTCTGTGTGCTTGTTTGACAGTTAATGTGGGAGAGGACTGTCCAGTGTTTGATGGTTTATTTGAGTTCTGCCAACTCTCAGCTGGGGGCTCAGTTGGTAAGTTTTTGAATTGTAACTCAAAAAGATATAATTTTTGCATTATTCCAAGTTCATTGTTGGCAGACTTTGAATTCCCACTTTTCCTGCGCTCCAGCCGGTGCTGTAAAGTTGAACAAGCAGCAGACAGACATCGCAATCAACTGGGCCGGAGGTCTGCATCACGCCAAGAAGTCGGAGGCCTCGGGGTTCTGCTACGTCAATGACATCGTCCTAGCTATCCTGGAGTTACTTAAGTGAGTAGAAAACCCTGAAATATAAATATCTCTTCAAACTTAAGTGTTTCTATCAATATTAGATTGTGCATTTTGAACCCTTAAACCATGCATACAATTTCTGGATTCAGAGTCTGCTTTTCTTGTCTTTAGATACCACCAGAGAGTTCTTTACATTGATATCGATATTCATCATGGAGATGGTGTGGAGGAGGCGTTCTACACCACTGATCGTGTCATGACTGTGTCTTTCCACAAGTATGGAGAGTACTTCCCAGGCACTGGTGACCTTAGGGTACGTCTGGTGACTATATTTCTAAAACTCAACGTTCCAATGTATTTTATTGATGCATATCTTGTATTCTTTAGGACATTGGTGCTGGCAAGGGCAAATATTATGCTGTGAATTATCCCCTGAGAGATGGGATTGACGACGAGTCTTATGAAGCCATATTCAAACCTGTGAGAACTTCTGTAATTTCGTAGTATTTATTTCATATTTATTCACAGATGCATTTTGAGAGCTCTTTCTCTTTTCCTGTAGATCATGGCCAAGGTGATGGAGATGTACCAGCCCAGTGCGGTGGTCCTCCAGTGTGGAGCTGATTCTCTGTCCGGGGACAGGCTTGGTTGCTTTAACCTCACCATCAAAGGTATGTTAAATTAAAGAATTTATTGACTTGTGGTGTGGTGAGTAGTTTTAAGTATTAAGTTTTAAGTAAGTGGTGTTTTTAATGTGTTTCTTTATTTATTTATTAGGCCATGCCAAGTGTGTGGAGTACATTAGGGGCTTCAACTTGCCGCTACTGATGCTTGGTGGAGGCGGTTATACCATCCGCAACGTGGCACGCTGCTGGACGTTCGAGACTGCTGTGGCCCTTGATTGCTCCATCCCCAACGGTAATGCTTATGTGGCTCCATTTGATGAGCTTTTCATTGGAAATCAGATACTTTTAATGGTTAAACACTTGAGCTTGATTTTACATTAAAAATAATACATTTGCAAGAGCTTGACACAGACCAGCTATAGCTTTTTAAAGTTTCTTTTACTATTAAAGACTAAAAAAAAAACATTACTTCCAGTCAGACTGGGAGCTCAACATTACACAAGCTATGGAAGTGAGTTGCATCTATATTTACTGTGCATTTATGCAAGTCTGTCAAAACAAAGTTATACAAGTTAACACAAGTTTTCTGTACCTGTTGTATTTACACTGTTGATGAATCAATAAGTGCAAAAGCAAGATACATTTGTTTTTTTTGTATTTTTGCTAGACAGTTGCAGGTCAAATTACAGATTTGAGAGTTAAATAGTCCTAATTATCAAGGAGGATACTTGGTTAATTAAAGTGTTTAAAGTTTGATTTGATCAATGTAATTCATGAATTGAGCATCGCACCACTTTATTTATTTCTCCCCAGAGGCTAAATGTATAAAAAATTTATAGTACAGTTTCACACGTTCCAGAAAAAAACTTCTGGGTTTGAGTTTAGAGCATTTAAAAAAAATAAACCTTTAGATAATAAGTTAAATGTATCAACTTTTAAAGCTTCTTTATGTAAGACACTTTCTCTAACCTCTGCGCTGCCACGCCCACTTTGAGAAGACATTACGTCGTAGAAGATTTTTAACTTGCAAATGTCAGGAGTCCTCTTTGTGTTTTCAGCCACAGCGCTTTCCTTTAAGAAGCTTGCTTTTTAAAGAATGGTAATAAGAAAAATTGTGATGTGAACTGTCTTACCTGCTCTAACTGGAGTTTCAGGTCTTCAGACAAAAAAAAAACAAAAAACACCTTGTGTAGAATTTCCTCTGTGATATAATCCCAGTTTAGTCTCGAATAGATCATTTGAACTGTCAGCTCAACAGATTTTAAACAGCTGTTTTTGCTCCACCACTAAAAAGCATAAAATAAATAGTTTTAAAATGTACATTAATCGAAAATCTTTCCTCTTGACTTGACAGAGCTTCCATACAACGACTACTTTGAGTACTTTGGACCAGACTTCAAGCTGCACATCAGCCCCTCCAACATGACTAATCAGAACACCAATGACTACCTGGAGAAGATCAAGTGAGTTCTTGAAACTAATTCAATATGCATGTTGTGAGATATGTGAGGAATGTTCTTTAAAATCAATGCATTGTTTGTGGTTCAGCAGTCACGTTATTTTTAAGATATTACTGTATGTAGTGTGTTACAGGTCCCTCTTTTAAATGAGTCCCTGTGGCTCAATGAAGCTAGCCTCTATAAATAAAGGCTGAATGAATGAATGTGTGTTTAATGTTTTTTTAATTATCTTTTAACTGTCTGTTGATGCCCTTCTTCAGGCAGCGCTTGTTTGAGAACCTGCGCATGTTGCCTCACGCCCCTGGTGTTCAGATGCAAGCCATCCCAGAAGACGTCGCGCACGAGGACAGTGGAGACGAGGAGGAAGATGCCAACAAGCGCGTATCAAGTAAGCGCATTTCTCACCGTTACGAGACGGGCTCCCTTGCAGCTGAAGTTAGGGTTTTATTTTAACCGCTCTCCGTTGACTTGTCAGTTCGCGCTCAAGACAAAAGGATAGCGTGTGACGAAGAGTTCTCCGACTCTGAGGATGAGGGTGAAGGAGGCCGCAGGAATACAGCGAGCTACAAGAAAGCCAAGCGAGCCAAAACCGACGGAGAGAAGGAGGCAGAAGAGAAGAAAGGTGAGGAGGAAACAAAAGGTATCACAGTTTTTATTTTTTTCATTCTCATCTCTTCCTCATTCTTAATTTTTGGACAAATTTACCAAAGACTTTTTATTTGAAGTTTGTCACTGGATTTTGTTTGTTTGTTTTCTTTAAGATGTAAAAGAAGAGGAGAAGGTGCCAGAGGAGGAAATGGACACATCAAAGTGAGAAAACACAGCATGCACATATTGACCATGATGCGGTGAACAGGAGGCGTTAATCATTCCTTTAATCCGGGTCCTTTAGGCCAAAAGAGGAGTCCAAGACATCTTGACGTTCTCGCACCCAGTGATGCCAGTGCACCAGACCTCAGCTGTTATTAAAGAGGGTTTTTTCTAAATAAATTGTTTTTTGAACTGCTGCTGTGGAAATCAATGAAGGGTTGTTCCTTTTAAAACGAGGTCCGACTCCCTCTGAATGGGATGGGGATCCAGATGTTTTTAGGATTGGTTTTTCAAAAGCATCTTTACAGTTTGTCAGTTTTTTTTTTTTTTTTTGGGGGGGGGGGGGGGGGGGGGGGGTGGTTGCTTTTGTATGAATGTTCATCTTTTCACCGCTACAGTATTTGCTCTATTCTTGTGAAGAACTCTGAAAATGATTTGGCTTGTATGTTTTTATGATATTTTGGGGTACTTTTGTTTTCTTCACACTCACCTTTGTCTTGTGCCTTTTCTGATGTACCGGTAGTTGAATTATGTAGAAATTGATCCTTTTTTGTAATATTTCTTCTAAAAGTTGGTGTTTATGTAGCACATTGTCAACAAACTTAGGTTTTTTTTGTTTTTATTTTAGGATATGATTTAGTTTGTACATTTTTCGGAAATGGCGACTTTTTGTTGTTGTTGGCATATTTAGAACTCTTGCCTATAATTTCCCAAATGTTCCTTTAAAAGGATCCTGTGTTGGGCTTAGCATCCTCTGGTGAGGCAATGCAAATGTCCAGAACGCTTCATTGTGTATATTTATGTAAATATTTGTATTCTGAAAACTATAGTAAACATGTTCCACTTAACATCTGGCTAATATTTAAATTCAACCACACTGGCACGAGCTAAGAAAAAAGGTTAAAACTTTGGTTTTAATTACAAAAATGCAGCTTTGTTTCATGATAGTTCAATAATATTTTAAATGTAAAAAGGTTAAAAAAAAAAAGAAGCAGATTTTAGAACGAGTATTTCAAAACAATGTAACAGTATTAAGAGCATAAATAGTAAAATGCACCAGCTTCTTGTTTGGTCCAAATATGTTCAGACATTTAAAGTGTAACAGAAGCCTTTCACACAGTTTTATCCAGCTGATGAACACAGCGGGGTTTAGACCCAGGCATTTCGTTCAGCTGCAGTGTTGCCGCCCAGCAGGTCGTCCTGCTCAGCGGGCTCGTCCTCAGCTCCCGTCTCTTCAGCTGGAGCCGAGCTTTCATCTCTTTTCTTTCCACGCACCTGAAAGAAAATTAAATATATTAAAAGGAGAAAATAACTGGATTAATTTGATTCTGCTCCAACTTAAAAGTACGGGCAGCATGAAGTTTGTTGTGTTAAAAATGTTTACTGAATACTAAGATGTACAGCTGGAGAATATTCTTTTAAATTGGACACAGTGGTACTTTCCTCCATCTACATGTTAACTGGTAACAATGTCAATTTTTTATTTAACATGAATAATTGATATCTAACTCAATCATTGGATGCACATCTGGAATTGCTAAACTTTTGGGGGTCACATGATTAGAGATGGTTTCCACAGCTGATCAACATCAGCCAACACACAAATGTTTTAATTTTACAGATAGAGCTAAAATCATGTGGTAGTAGCTGAGTCAACTCATTCTGAGCATGAAATCGATGCGTGAGAACACGATAAAACAGATGTTAGTTTACAACTCAGTCTTTTAATGTGTTTCTGTTTAACCTTAAACCAGGGGTGTCCAAACATTTTCCTAGATGAGCCAGAACTGTCTAGATAAATTCATTCATTCAACCTTTATTTAGACAGGTAAATCCCACTGAGCCTCGAGCACTCATTTACAAGAGAGATCAAAAGGACTCGAGGGTGAGAAAAATCTGAATTCAAGAATAAATATTTTTTTAAAGCGTGATTTTTTTTTTTATCCTCGTTTTTAACTTATTAAAAGTTTTTAGTTTATATTCTTATAGATCCAGAGCATTAGGAGCCTCATAAACAACTGGTGGTTTTTTAAATATAATTTAATTTATTAGATTTATTGGGACTATTATTTGTTTTCTTGTGCTTTGAAAGTTTGCATTTTCATAGGAAAACTAAAATTAGTTATTTTAAAAAAAGGGGATGGAACTTCAACCGAATGGGTCAAAGTTCTGAAAAACAGCTGGCGGTCACTAAACAGATTCATAGAAAGTTTGAAGAGACACTGATGACGATCAACTTGTACGTCGATGATACTTTATATTCTTTTTAAAATGTCCCAATTTCTCCCCATCGTTAATTATTAACTCAACTGAAATTATTTTCTTTGAAAAACACTTTTTATATTTAGCAAAGTTTTATGAATTATTATCAAAATTCTGCTTTTTGGTAAGTCAGTGAAGATTTGTTGTAGATAAAGGGACTAATTATAGCTAAATTTTTGTTTTGTATTTAATTTAACTCATTTTCAGATTATTTTCATCCGTTTTGCTGTTAAACTTAAAAATTTTTAAAGTATTCACATTAAATCTAAAGGTCTATCTGCATCAACCTCTTAAGCCTGTGGGTCAAAATTGCCATTCTTTAATTGTAGTCGAAGGCCGCACAAACTCACGCCAAGGGCCGCAAATGGCCCTCGGGCCACACTTTGGACACCCTGCCTTAAACCATTTTTGATGTCCTGAATATTTACATCAGGGTCTGCATGGAAATTATTCCTTTAATATTCCATATTTCAACAGGTAAGCACAGCAAAACCTTTTTTTTTTTCTCCATTATGAGACTAAGACGCAACATACATGCACGTGATAACGCACGTTTAAAGCATCTCTGAGGTGATAGCAGCTTACCCTAGAACTGATCATCTTCCTGCGAAGGAAGGAAATGCAGGCTGCAAAACAGCGAAAGGCGAACACCGATTCCACGACGGACATCATGACGAGAGGCACCCACAAAATGACTATGGTCGCCTGAATAATGTAACAAAAAAATTAGTTTAAAAAAAAAAAAAAACTGCTGAGGAGACGTAAAGAAAACCGCACTCACATAAAGACGAGTTGGATCAAAAGGACATTCGTATGTGATGCTCGACGAATCGGCGTCACTAGTAGTAGTTTTGCAGTGCGTTTCTAGAATTTTTGTTCCTTTATAGATCATAGTCCTGATGGCAGACACTGTCAAGCCTGTGGCTGAGGCGAGTCCCAAGAGACCTGTCAGGAAGCTGAAGACCACCAGAACCAGCTTCTGTAATGACAACATAGGTTGGACAAAGAAGGGACTCCTCAGTGACAAAACCGTAGCATTAAATAATCTGTAATCTCCAAACACATGCACTTATAGTGTAACAAAAAGACATGTCCCAACAGGAGGCAGCAAATGACAGAGGTGGGAGAAGTATTTACCAGGACCCTGATTTTCTTGTTTTTAGACAGAACGATCGCTGTTATTCCACTAATAATTCCCTGAAGGAACACAAGCAGAAAGAATGAATGACATTTATGATCAAAGACACTTACTGTCATAAAGATGGGTCAAAAACAGAATCTGAACATCTTTTTTATCGTATGATTGAATTCTCCTTTTATGATGGAAATGTCCTTAAATGAAAAATTCTATGCAAAATTTGGAAATGGCTGCCAACAACCTAATGTTTGACCTAAAGTGACAAATGGGTCAACAATGGCGACGTCCATGAAAGAACCCTTTGGGTTTAGAAGTCCAACAATTTTAAAGTTATTGGTACTTACACTAAGATTTGTTGAATAAAGTATCTAAGCTTCCAGTGGATTCAGTTAAGTGCTTTGTTTACCATGAGTGTAAACCCACATTTCAGATTTGCATATCAGTTTGTGTGGAAAACTACAGTGATACAGGTCAGGGTAACTTTTTAACATTTGACATCATAGTTTTAAATTTGTAGCTATAAAATGATTTCCATCAGCAGGGTAACGCACGGTTACTCACCATCAAGCCTGCCACGATGGCAACGACGTTAGAAATGGCGTACACCAGAGTCCCGATCCTGTCTTCCACACTGATGTGTCTGAGCACGACCCCCTGCACCAGTGCGCCCAGAAGGAAGTTGACATGGCCCACCAGAACCAGGGCCAGCCCCATCTTCATCAAGACTTTGTTGTCTTTGAGGCTGGCACAGCATAGCCCTGGTACATGCAGAAAATATTGTTTACAACCGAGTTCTGTCATGCAGATAGAAAACTAAAGCAGTAATATGTAAAATAATGCCCCTATGAGCCATGCAGTGATTAAAAATACCCCTTCCTGCCATCCTCCATGCATTAACAGTGTGGTGACAGTTCTACTCAAAGGGGAAGTGGAGTAAACTGATCCTGAGCCCAAACAGGACAAAGCCTTGGGCGTGGGGTGTCTGAACCTCCACCATCACATTCACCTGACCTGAGGGGTCTGCAGGGTGGTGTCGGATTGCTGCTGCTGTCCTCTTATGCTCAAGCGTGCAAACACTGGCAATGTTTCGGATCGTAACAGTCACTATGAACTACTGCAGTAATACATAGTACATTATATGCAAAAGTACTAACAGAAAATGTGCATTTACTTTAAATGTGTCTGATATATTAGGATATTTTGGCTCAGGATGAAACTAGGATTGTCATTAAGCATTAATGAGTCCTATTCAGTTTAGTTAATGGTACCAGTAGCTCACACGTCATTAATTCAATACAGACCAAATTATTCAGTTGAATAATGGAGATATGAGCGTTTAATGGTGGAAGAAAATGTGCAGAAAGCCAGTGATGCCTTAAAATGTTCACCACTGTGGCTATAGATGTATTATGATCAACCCACAATTAACAGCTACACTTTAATTTTTCATTATGATAAAAAGGGAAAACTTTAAAGAAAACTCTAATACCCATAAAAACCCGCGGAAGCTCAACTTGACGCACAGACCACGCCTAAAACTTTCATAACAACACCTTTAATCTCCCCCACTTTCACAAATCCCACACACCAGAGTGCAGCTACATACCTGTCCTCCCCATGCTGGATTATGAATCCCCTCAGATCATAAAGAACAAAGTGAAAATTATTACTAAAACCATTTTTGACGGCTTGGTGCCTCGTCACCTTCGTTGGCTCCTCAACTTCCTTAACTGCTACTACTCACCTGAGGACAAACAAGCCCCGCCTATCACCTGCCTACGAGGAAGCCCCGCCCACAACAGGCACCATACAGGAAGAATGAACACTGATGCATTGTCTATTTATTGTTAACTTCTTATTTTTTTATTATCTGTGAATTTTTATTATCTTTGAATGAAAAAAAAATCTAAATCTATTATGTTCTGTCTAAAAATGATTAAAATATTCGGAAATAACTCAACATTCTTAAGTGTAATGGAATAAAAACAGCAAATTGTTTCATCAGACAAATGAGAAACACAATTAGTTCTGATAATGCTTTAAAAACTTGCATCTACCTGTAAATATTGCCATAATAAAGGAATCAAAAACGTTGCTGGAGCGTGAGTAAAGAATCCCACGGTCCTGTCTAAAGAGGAGTGATTGGCTGTGAGGCTAATTAATTTGATTGCCACCACCTGTGCTCTTTTCACATCGTCTTATTAATGACACACGCTGCTTGGGGAAACACAAAGCTGTTGGCCCTGCTTATGGCTCACAATGGGGACGCTTCAGCAAGTTCTTTTCATTTTTCTTGGCCATTTTCTTGCCGCTCAGTCTTTTGGTAGACTCGAAGATGCCATGTTTCCCCAGGATTTCGGAGGCTCTTTTGACAATAGCTGGCTTTTTCCATTCGATAGAAACTTTGACTTCCCGCCGTTCGACAACCTCTTCAGCTCTTTGCGTAGGTGGAGCCCTGGATTTCACATGCTTGGTGAAATCCCTCCCATCAACGCTCCAAGAGTTCAGGTGTTCTGTGATGAAACCAAGCTAACTCTGGTGGTGGAGAAGAAGGCTTCCGGCCTGATGCTGACTGAGGAGGAAATATGGCTGGGTGATGGTTGCTATAGCAACAAAGAGCTCCCAAACCAGTTTGTTTTTGTTTATGACTTGGATCAGTGTGGAACTACACCTGTGGTTGGTTGTAAAACTTTATTTTTTTTCACCACTGGTTTTAATTTGAATACTTTTAAGAGCTTTCTAATATCACTGTCTTGCAGTTCCAGAACGGCTGGCAAGTTTTCACCAACTCCCTCCATTTGAACCTCAAAACAAATCCCACTTGGTGGCAAACTCCTTCCACAATTCACATCTCCTGCATCCCAAAGAGGTGTGCCACCTGCCTTAACGAAACACCTGTAATTGTTCCCGAACTTATCCCTTAACACAACTGCATGTCTCTCCAGGTCGTATACTGATCCAAACCACATCTCTCAACAATCTGTGAATGCAAAGAGCTTTGATATCCAAGCCATGAATTGTAAGTATTTCTTGGGACAACTTTTATTTTATTTTTTTTGTCTGGACCACTTCTTCTTTTAATAGAGTGTTATATTCTCTTGCAGCTTCCTGGACCACCACTGCAGAGTCCAACCTCTATAAAAGAGGTCAGGTAGTCCATCTCCAGGTTTCTGCCAAAACGAGACCAGATCAGCAGCTTTTCATCCACTCCTGCTTTGTCTCTGCATCTCCTGAACCTCAAACTAGACCCAGACATGCAGTCATATTGAACAAAGGGTAAGCAGTATTTCACTCTGATGGCTGGGTGGATGAAAACTTTATTTGGCCGTTAATAATCTCTGACCTCCTGGCAGGTGTGCATCCTCATTTGGTTCTCCGTATACAGTTGCTCGGTTTGCAGCCACCAACCGAGCAGATGTGGTTAACTTCATGCTGAATACATCCAGTCTAATTTCTGAGGTAAGGTAAGCATGTTGTCTTGCATGTTTCTGGATGGTGATGACTTATTGGTTTCTCTCCAAGTTGTACATCCACTGTAGTGTGGTCATCTTGGATCGGGGGCTCACCTCTGCTACAAAGTCCTGCAATTATAATGTGAATAAATCAAGGTATTTGGCTGTGCTGCTTGCATATCTCCTCCCTCCTTTTTTAAAGATGTTTAAGCTGTAATTTTTCTTCCAGATGGGAAGAACTAAATGGGGCTACACAGGTCTGTAGTTGCTGTCACTCAAAGTGTAAAGGCCAATCATTCAAGACTCTTTCTGATGGTGAGTGCTCAAGCTTTCACTTTTTTTTTTTTTTTTTCTTTTCTGCTTTCAAAGTGGCTCATTGAGCTGATTTGATGTTTCAGATGCCAAAGCTGTGGTCAGCATTGGGCCCATGGTCATTGTGGACAATGATCACGAGTTGAACCCTACGCTTCCAGAATCGAAACCCCAAACCTTCAGCTCTTTACCCACCACCATGATGTCTAACGCTCCCAGTCGCCCAGAAGACTTGATTGTTTCTGCTTCCTCTTTGTCACAAAGCACGCTTGAGTCTTCACCCCAGGGTGTAGTGATGGTGAGTCAGGACCCAACCACCAGGCTAACTCTGTGGCTACCTGCACAGGCTGAACCTGGAAATGTGTATCCATTTGGAGATGACTTGTCCATTCAGTCACAGCCAGGTGTTGGCGGTAATCCTGAGCAGCAGCGTTCGAGCGCAGATGAAAAGGCTTTTCTGAATTCACTCACAAATGAGGTTGATGGTCTAACAAAAGGCATAGGTGACCCTTTGCTGTGGGATGTGAAACTGGTCCCACTGACTGATGGAAAGCCTATTTCTTCACATGGCAGTGAAGTTTTTGCTGAATTGCCAAGGAACAGGTTGGGAAGATCTGGGAATTTTGCTGCAAAGGCTGACTCATCTCTTTCTACTGGGATTAATGTAAATCTCATGTTTGCTGAAAAGCCAAAAGAAACCACACCAGACGCTGAGGAAACCGAAGCTGGAGCAAAGCGACCTGTCCACGTGAACGAGCCTGCCATGGGAGAGCTTTCTCAAATGGACACGGAGCCTGAAGTGGATCTCCAGCCAATAATTCGTACAAAATTGGAGTTCACGAAAAGTGCAGATGGTTCAAAGAGGTTGAGTTATGAGGAAGAAGTGGAGAAACGCCCACAAGGAAAACAAGAATCCAAACTAAAGGGACTGCGCTTGACTTTCTTGAATTTGTTGAGGTAAGTCTGCGTATTCAACCAAAGATGGATGTAACACTTTTTTTTTTTTTTTTTTTTTTTTTAATGTACTTTTTTACCAACAGGAGGATGGACAAGGCAGAATAATGCAGCTCTGAAGATGAGAATTAAATAAAAA